TGTTATTAACTAAAGCCCATAGTTTACATTAGAGTTCACTCTTTGTGGCAAGTGCCTTTTATATTGTACCTTATCCTTTTTTGGATTTTTTTCAGGGTCGCAAAACTACGTGATGAAATTATGGCCTTAAGGAATGAATGTTCCTCTGTGTACAGCAAAGGACGCCTGCTGACGACAGAACAGACGAAGCTCATGATATCAGGAATCACCCAGAGTTTAAACTCAGGATTTTCACAGACCTTACACCCCAGTCTGAACTCAGGGTTGACCCAGAGTTTGACACCTTCCCTGACGTCTTCTAGTGTGACTTCTGGCCTGTCATCAGGGATGACTTCTCGCCTAACTCCGTCTGTCACTCCAGCTTATACACCTGGTTTCCCATCAGGATTAGTTTCAAATTTCAGTTCAGGAGTAGAGCCAAATTCATTGCAAACTCTGAAGTTGATGCAGATCCGAAAACCCCTTCTAAAGTCTTCTTTGCTGGATCAAAATTTAACAGAAGAGGAAATCAACATGAAATTTGTTCAGGATCTTTTGAATTGGGTTGATGAGATGCAGGTAAAAAAAAGTTTACTTTATCTGAGTGTTTCAGTCTTTATTGGTATCAATTTCTTTTTTTAACCTACTATTTTGCTGTTTGCAGGTACAGCTGGACCGCACTGAGTGGGGCTCAGATTTGCCAAGTGTTGAAAGCCATTTAGAAAATCATAAAAATGTTCACAAAGCTATTGAAGAATTTGAATCTAGCCTTAAAGAAGCTAAAATCAGTGAGGTATGTGACTTTAGAATTTGTGTATATTTCATTTTAGTTTATTATTGGTTTGCTCCTTACATAAAGACCTTGTAACTCAATAATAGATACATTAGATATAGTCAGAATTTCTTCATACTCATAATTTTGATGTCTTTTTATTCCATGTTACAGATTCAAATGACAGCACCTCTTAAACTAACTTATGCAGAAAAGTTGCACAGATTAGAGAGTCAGTATGCGAAACTCTTGGTAAGTGCTTTTTTTGTTTTTGTTTTTTACCTTCTGGTTCCCTTATCTGTGTTTGGTAAAGACATGATTCTTACAATGATTTTCCTCATAAAGAATACATCCAGGAATCAGGAAAGGCACCTTGATAC